TCTACCTCCACCCAGTCATCCTCGACGGGCTCCTCGACGGCTTTCTGTTCGATGGCGCGCTGTTTGTTGGCGCGCCAGTGCAAGCGGCTCGCCATTCGGCGCAGCATTTTCGTTTCGCGCGAAGTCTCCGCGCAGCGACACGGCAAGGAGGAGGCGTGAGTGCGTGCAAAGAATTTTGGGGGTAAGTCGGCAAGTTGACACGGTCGAATTCTTGTGACTGCGCGGGGATTGAAAGTGTGGTCAAAGAAAGAGAGGTTGGGAAGTGGGAGGAAAAGCGTGGAATATATACGGCGGAAAGGTGCGCAGGAAGTGAATCACTGAAAGATGACCACATGACCAACATCTGAGTGTCCGGGACGACGGCGGTAAACAAACACGACAAACGCGTGGTGCGCGGGGAAGGGGGGATTACGACTGGAAGTCACTGGAAGTGTGACTCGTGGTAAGTGACAGATATACCACCCCGTCTTGCTTTCATCCTGACTTATACATATAACAGACCTCCAAGCTTGGGCCAGCTAACCCCAAGCAAGACAAATCGTGGGGAGTCGCATCAAGCACGCTCAGCGGTCATAGTATGGGCCTCTACGACTGGTATACATCTTATCGGAGCAATCAGAAAGGCATCTATCTACAGACTGATTCCTTCCCCCAGATTCTGACCCATTGTTTACGACTCGTTTGTTCAAGGACAAATCGTGCCAACAAGAAAGGACCCCAAGACTTCGCCGCCGATGCGCACACAACCTGTCAAACGCTCCAATCCATATCGCCGTTACCAGTCAGAACATAACGCTCCGTTTGCTAGTCTCCAATTGCTCACACACTGCCATACCATCACCAGCCGTCTTCCTCATCTTGGTCCTTGTGCTTGAGATTCGATTTGAGCTCATCGACGACGACGGAGTAGCTGTCACCTGGAAAGTGCTTCACCTCCTTGGTCTTCTTATGTGTCGGTTTTCGAGACTTCGACCGCCGAGGGAGCAACGTAGATCTTATTCTCAACAATGGCAAGTCTGGCGGAGGGCGCAGCCCTAGACGTTTCCTCCCATTGAGCCGCACTCGAATCAAGGTCGGAGGGTTCGAACATTCTGTTTAACTGCTTACTGGAGTCTTCATGGAACCAGTACGGAGAATTCCTGTCTTCAATTTCGACGACATCTTTTGATGAGACCGACTCATCGGGCTGCACGTCTCAGGAATCGCCGCTATCGTTGCGCTCATATGCCTTGTCGAGCATCCCACGAGCAGAATCAGCGGCCTCGAGCAAAAGGAGATCGACTTTACCAGCGACCGAAAGGTGCAATGAGTTGTCCTCGGCCTGCTTGGATCCTGTGCGGGTCTTGAATGGAATGGCCTCCGCGCCAGCATCATTCGAGTCGCTGTCATGGCCGAGCTCAAAGTAGGACACAAGATTGACATTGTCGTCGTTGCTACTCTGAGCACTGTAGCCGTGCTGAGGGAGAGGCTGATTGTGCAGGTTGGAGCTAGACTGAAGATTCACACCTTCGTCTTCCTGAGATTGAGCCCCTGGAGGAGTTGACTCCAAACCAACAGAAGCTAACCCAGCGGCGCCATCGTTTGGATTGCGGATATCGGTCAATATGCGTTCAGATGAGCTCCAACTCCCGTTTCCCAATAGAACACCATGGCTGATGCTGTCAGGCGATACTGTCGCAAGCGGCCCCGCAACGCCTTCGCTATCGATGTCCGCAGGCGCCCTCTCCTTCAACTTGTACCGGCGAAGGCCAGCCCGAGTCTGATCATTGATACTCCGAAGCTGTCACATTCGGCGCTCGTGGTAATCCTGCAAGCGCTGATGAAGGTCGTATCCAACCCGAGTTCGCTTGAAGCCATCGATCACGGCCCTTGATAAGGAGTCATACGCGAAGCTGAACCCGGTCGCGGTAGACGTTGCAGCGGCGACGGCTGCGACCTTTGCGCCTTTGCATAACTCTTCGGCAGTTGATTCGACGTGTTCGCGAAGTTGCTTCTCGTAGGTATCCTTCGCAACTTCCCAGACCACCTCCGCTGCATCAATGGCATTGGCACGGGTGGTCTGGTACAAGTCCTCTGCTGGGCCGGGGGGTATGTAACCCAAGGGGTCGTAATGGATGGTTTAAGCCAAGAAGTTGCGAGACATACCTCGTCCTCATAGATGCTGACTTCCTCGTAGCCTTCCTCTATAGGTTCGGTGGTGTCATTGTCTGTCCGCAATAAAGCCAGCAAAGCTCTGAAGTGCCGCATTTCTGTCGGGCGCGATGAAGCGACGGAACCTTCTCGTACATGCAAGATTGAACGGGCGAGAAGGCTGAGGCGATCGGGTGTGCGCACAATGGGTTGCTAGGTCGATGACTTCGGATTTTGGTGGCTGCGTACTGGTGAGGAGGAAAGAGGTTGGAAGTCAAGCAAACCAATAGTATGTACTAATTCATTGCGCGCAGTGGAAGTGAATTGATGACCACATGGCCATCATGGTGGCTTGTGCTCAAAAGTGGCATTCACTAACTACTCTACACTGAATCCGCTGTCCTAGATGCGTCCAGCCTCCAATCAACCGTAGGTTTGAGATAAACTGCAGTACTCCAAAACACCTGCGAAATTGAAAGCCCGACATCATGACATCGCCAGGCCGATCGCATTACCCAGCAGACTGCGATCCGAAAAACCCAACCAAACACCTCATAGCCAGATAATCCACGACCCAGACAGGCCAACATAGAAGACACTCCCTTGTCGAACTGTCACCCAGAGAGCCCTTGTCGCCAGCGCCGGCCGCAGTCGTCAGGGGTGCCCCAAATAATTCAAACTCCTGGACAGCGACGCTCGAATCAACTGTAGGACATTCTCGCATATCATGGGGACAATGAGGTTGAGAGTACTGATCTCCAGTGTCGTAGTTGCTGTCGCCCGTCTCATACGGATCGTTCGTGAGTGTGTGCGCACCATACAGTGAGCGAGAATGCAACGACCGGGGAAATCTCGACCGAGTGCTCATCGATGACATGTTTGAAGAGATCAGAACAGACGCTGAGTAATCTCGCAGCTGCTCAGGAACGAAGTGAGACTTGAGCATTGGAAGACACTGTATCAATTTGACTATGTGTTGAAGGTAGAGAAACCCCCACTTATACCAAGTGGGGGCAAGGTTTTGTTTGAACAGCGAGTGAGACACAAACACAAAGAAGCTTCCCCCAGCCTCTTCCTTACTATTCTGCGACCTTCTGGCTTGGTAGAGACAGTTCCTTCAAAGACTTCGCCTTCTTGATGCCGACCGGGATTTTGGGCGAACCTGCAAGCTCCGGCGAGAGATGATCAAGCCCAAAAAAGATTGAAGTTGTGGATTTAGCATTGAGGTAAGTCCCACTATTGAGAGGTGCAATTCCTAAGTTGCCGGCTTCAGCCTTGGACATGCGTTCCTCTGTGTTTTCGCTATCGCTGGCAGCCTCCGAATTGGAATTCGTTACCAGTTCAAAACCGACTTCGGCTGTATTGATATCGTCGCCGCCGATAACGCTGCCTTGGCTAGATATCCCAGGGCTGTCAGGATTGCGAAAGCCGAATTCTGCGCGCAAGGAAATATCGTCAAAGCCTTGATACTCGATCCCAGCAACTTCAGAATCCGCAGATGAAGACCACGGCCCAATAAACGTACCCTTGCCTTTGGTGAGATGAAGCGATTTCCTTGGCCGCGGCACATGATTAGCTGGCCTGGAGTTGAGAAGAGTGGCCGGACTATTATGGCTGGAATTCTTCATCTGATACCGCGCGACACCAGCCCTCGTCTGGTCATGGATACATTGGGCTTGCTTCAGGCGATCTAAATGATACTGCTCGAGGCGCTGATGGAGCTGATATCCCAACCTGGTGCGCCTGAACTGGTCCATTATGGCTTGCGAGACGGTCCCATAAGCAAGATTGAGACCTGCCCCGGCGCATGTTGCGGCTGCCATGGCTGCGTTGCGGGCACTTTCAAGCGCTATCTCGGCAGCAGCCCCTGCGTGCTCGTGCAGATAGGTCTCGTAAGCGTTCTCGGCCGTACTCCAGACAATCTCCAAGTCGGCGCGGGTGGCTTGGTAGATTTCCTCGACTAGGCCTGGCGGCATGTACTCTGTGGGTTGGTAGTTGGGATCCTATTGCTTTTTGATTAGTGGTTCACTGTAAAAATTTGGAGCCACTATTGGATATACGTATTGTTCGTTGATGTCGACTTCATCGTATCCATCCTCAATAGGCTGGCTCAAATCGTCGTCGAGTTCAGGAGAGGCGTGTCGCTGGAGACTTTCGAGGAATCGACGCATTTTCGTTCGCTTGTTCAAGAGCAGGACTCAGGCGCGTCTCAAGAAAAATAGGAAGATGGAGTAGTGGACAGAAAGTTTTGCGCGCAGTGGCTTCTCACAATAGCAGGATCGTGGTAGTTCTCCATGGACGAAGGCTTTGTTTGAGACAGGAGAACTTAGGAGAAGAGGGAAAGACGCGGATGCCAAAGATGTGCCATGTTAAGGCGAAAAAAAGATGAGTATCGTGTTCTGCTAGTTTCTATGATGCAGTATCGCGGACAAGCTAAGAAGTTGATGTTTCAGGAATAAAGCGATCTTACACACGACACCTTTCACCAACAGCACCCTCAACCGTCTCCAGCATAACCCACTAACCAGCTTCATATCGCCCAATCTATCAAATGACACATCGAGAGCCTTGCCTCAATATCTATCCGGCCACGAAAAGCTCGCCCGGGCACCAAAACTCTGTGGCGAGCTGCGGCCAATTTCCTTTGTTTTTTCTAGACTCCAAACCATCACTTCCTTCCATCTCCACCAATAATTAACCAAAATCCCACATTCGCAGCTGAAAATGATCGCCTCATCCTTCTCCTTCCTCCTTTCTCCCTCCAACTCTTCTACTCCCCCGATCCCTCAAGTCCCATCGAGATATAGTCCAAGTCATTTACCGTGCCTCCAACAGCAACACAACAGTTCCTGTTAACAACCACAACATCATCTTCCGTGGCGCAATTGGCTAGCGCGTCTGACTGTTAAGCACACTTTAAAGCATCCCCATACCTTCTGTAACAAGAGGATTGGAACAAGGAGCTCGCTGCAATCAGGAGGTTGACAGTTCAAGCCTGTCCGGGAGAGAACTCTTTTGGTTGGTTGTTTAGGGGAGAGGATATACGAGCATGTGTGTGGTGGATGAAGACTTTTTTGCTACTTTGGTGGGCCGGTGTGGAGCGGAGATGGAAGGGTTCGTGATGTCGGCGGCTTTTTCGGGAGGATCTTTTGATCGGGACGGGCGGGAGGGAGTTGGTCTGTGTGGACTTATGATGACGGGCGTGGGAATCGGGACAGTATTATTTGGTCTCTAGAGGTCTATATACAAGACGGCATACGTACATACATTCATGTAACTTTTGGACAGCATGTACAATCAACGCGTGAACCACCTATCCGCCAGCGAACTACCCGCATGCTCTCCGCCTCTACTGCCATGAACTTCCGGTCTAACCTAGTCAATCCCATCGTCCTCATCATTCAAGAACCCATAGTTCTTCCTCTTCGGCTCCAACCTCAGCTCCCCCCTCGAAAGCATACCACCCAACTCACGATCAATGTCCTCATCCTCAACGCCCAGATGTCTTAACCCAGCAGCAGCCCATTCCAGCACCTCCAATAAATCTGCTTTTTGCTGCAGTAATATGTATTCCTGTGCGCGCTCATGCAGCGCCGACGTGTAAATGCTGCGAAGATAAGGAATTTGCGGTTCGAGCAATTGGCCGCGCAGACAAATATCCTCGCCATCGAACTGTGCGACGACGATAGTATGCTCCGGCGAACGCTCAAGCTGCTTTGCGCGGGTGGGGCGGAATCTCGACATCATGGGGACGCCGCCGGGGGCGTTCGACGCTGCAGGTGCGTCGGCGGGATCGAGACACCATTTACAGAAGAAGCGTTTAGCGTCGATGCTGCCGCGGGATTGTGCGACGCCTTGCAGGATCGCGGCGAAGACGAAGCGGTAGCGGTAGCGGGTGTAGCTTTCGGAAGCGATGTAGCGGGTGCCGGTGCGGAGCCAGAGGCTGTTGCAGAAGTCGGACCATTCGGGGCTGATGCTGGCGAGGAAGCACATACTGATGTGAACGTCTTCGATGCGTTGTCGGTTTTCAATGCCGTAGACACCGCGGACCATGGCGCGGTAGATGGACTTGCCTTTTGCGAGGGACTCTTCTCGGGCTGCGTCAGACAGGTCGGGGGTGGGGCGTTCGAGGAGAAGAAGCTCTTTGGCGAGGCGGGATAGCGTTCCTACAGACCAGCTTTGTTCCGTTCTTTTGGTCATGAAGGTGAGGATGTTGGCGACGGAATCCCAGCGCCTGTTTTCGATTTGGCAGCCTAGAAAGGCTTGGAGTACGGCGTTTGGCAAGTCTGCAAGGGTTCCTACTTCTGGAGTTTGAGCGGTGATGACATCCTGCACGAGCTGTGCATCGCGGGTTGCGGTTCCAAACTTAATCAGAGAAGGAGCCAGGACTGGATCCCGATACTTGGATGGAGGTATCAGTGGACCGTCAATGTCTTCTGAGAAAAGCAGCCATTGTCCAAAGTCATAGGCCTCGCTTTCGGCGGCCAAATCCAAGATGGATGCCATCAGGTGAGTGGTAAGCTGCGGATAGTATGATGGAAATTCGATCTGGGGGATATTGCTATCAAACGTGTTCCTGCTCTTTCTTTCGCCCTTCGTTTCAGCCATTAGGGAATCGAAGAAAAGCTTCAATGATATCGACTTGTTGAGATCTGTGAATTCCTGGAGCTGGGCCAGCGCAGCAAATCCACCGTTCGTGTCTCCTCGTTTAATGTGGGCGCTTATGACTCGATGAAGGACCCCGAGAGGAGCCGCGGATGCATCAAGTACGTATAAAGGAACGTCGGAAGAGCCCGCACCGCCTTTGGGGGCGTTGATATACTCCAACTCTTTTCCGAAGGGAGATACCAGTGTCATAAGACTTTGTACAAGATGTGGCTTGGTTTCCACTCTCACTCCAGGAGACTCAAGGAATCGAATCACCACCGCATCCCATGACATTCCTCCTAAACCGGCCTGGCTTCTTGATAGGAAAGATTTCAGTTTGCGGATGCGTTCGAGTAAATCTTCCGGGGTTTGTCCACGTTTGCCGACACCGACTCTTAAACTGTTGAGCAAAGCATGTACAAAAGCCGCCACCACCTCGACACTAATTGTCTTTTCCACAGATAAGCGATCGGGCGAATTGGCTTGTACGCCTCGGAGGCCGAGGAGCGACAACAGGTCGTTCTTATTCAGATCTCCTGTTGATGAGGTGTCTTGGCTTCGCCAATACATGGCGGACCATCTTCGTTTCTCATCCTCAAAAGTCATCATTTTGTCAAGGATGGCCGCACCATCCAGACTCCAGCCGCCATGTAGGGTGGACCATAACACAAGCTCGAGCCAGACCTCGGGACCGAGCTCTGGGGTACGGACTTTATATCGCGAGCCAGGGATTTCATGGCCAAGAAAATTGTATTGCGCCTGGTCTTTCGAGGCCTCTTTCACTGCCGCCTCGTGCGCGCCCCAAGCAGCATCCGATAAAGCTGTCAAAATCCTCGAAGATAGCAAGTGCAGAGTTGGGGGTTGATGCAATGGATGGTTCTGGTTCTCCTTGCCGTACTGATATACGGAGTCTGGTATCAATTCCGAGTGATGAAAGTATGCAAGCATTTCCATAACAAAAGGCATGATTCTTTCCGCCAACTCTGGCCTGGTATTTTGGATGTCTTCCGGCCGGTCCGCAGCAAGTAATATGAAATTGCCTAAGGTTCTCCATATGTGACCGAGGGCACCTTTGCGATTCCCAGCACCATATTCAGTGAGTTTTCTGAGGCCGGTCAACTGGTCCAAAGATTGTTTGACAGGTACATCTGGACCAATCTTTTCGGCCCGGACAGGATCGCGCTTGGCTTGTGTCTCCAAAGCCTGCATACCCAGCAAATTATACCCATAGAAAGCATCAAAGTCTTCAAGTTTGACTCGCTCCTCAGGATGGTAGTCCACCACCGCCTTGATTATCCACCGGACTGCATTCCACCGTCCCTGTATTACGGCCATGTATCCGAGCACATCGAGGTCCGGAACGTTTCGGCTTCGTGAAAGCAGCTTGGAGATATGATGTAGTCTTTCTTGAGCTGTTAGGTCAAACTCCTGATGGGCCCCCTGATGATAATCCGGAGACCTCAAATCGGGTTCCAGATATGGCTCCAGCTTTTCTATCCATGCCTCCGGATATCTGGCGAGTTCTGCGCTTGGAAAGACGGTCTTGCTTGGTATCGCACCTTCGGTCCGCTTCTTTGGCGGCCGATATGCTTGGTCCCGACGTCTGCGGTCGGCTGCAGTTTCTTTGCGTGGAAGAAGGTCCTCTGCCGATATCCCGTCTTCAGCGACGGCCTTGGTTTGCTCTGCCGGTGTAGATGCTTGTTCTCGACGCCTGCGTCTTTGCGAAAAGTGTCTCCTGCTGCCGGGGGGCGATTGCTGCAAGCCTGGAACCAGCCAGTCGGCTACAGTAAAAGCGGATGTACCTGCGGCGCGCGGCTGTCGAAAGACGCGGCTGAGGGCATTGGAGAAGCAAGTGTGCATGGGACGGTAGGAGAGTCGGCGACGAGGGTAGGATGCATGGGGGTGCAGGGCAGGAGAAATAAAAATGCAGGTGAACGAACATTAACTCGTCGGAGAAGCTTTGATGACGTTTCGACCGAACCTCCGCTCTCCGCGCGCCAGCTCAAGCGCGTCCCGCCAGCTCGACCTCCCAACATCGCTGCCTGAACAACTGCTGCCCACACATCGTCAAAATTCTTCTTGACAGGAACTCAACTCTGCAGCGTGTATACACGGTCTACTGAAGGGATAGTACTGTTTTTGCAAATTTAGCACCTCCGCGTCGGCCAGATTCACGCGTTTCTGCGGGCGCATAGCAGCTTCACCTCACATCTACTGCTGCCATCAACAGAACCTGTTCCCCAACACCACATCAAAAGCCATCAAGATGCCGACCGGCTACCAGATTCGTAAGCTGCATTCTTATCCTCACTAATGTCCATGTTCTGCTGTATTCAAGTCTGACATATCGAAGAGCTGAGCCCCAACAACCGTGCTGGTTGCCAGAACGTAGAGTGCAAGAAGGCAGGTGTCAAGATCCTCAAGGGCGAGATCCGCTTCGGCACCATGGTTACCATCAAGGAGCATCAGTCCTGGCAGTACCGTCACTGGTGCGTGTGTCACAATCTCATTTCCTGACTATCAGCTGATCTTAGCAGGGGCTGTCTTACTCCCAAGGTCATCGAGAACATCCAGACCTTCATTGAAGGCGACTACGAACTTCTCGAAGGCTTCGAAGACCTGCCCGAAGATGTTCAGGAGAAGGTTAAGAAGGCCGTCGAGCAGGGTCACGTCGATGATGAAGACTGGAAGGGCGTATGTTCTGCTCATCCTCTCTTTCTCTTTGCTCCTCACGGAAGATACTAATGTCTCCTTTTCAGGATGTCGAGATGAACCGCCCCGGCGGTAAGGGTTTCCGCGCGAAGAAGAGCAAGAAGGTACGTATATCCATCTTACTAGAATGACCCGCATTAACCCTCGCACAGGACGAGGAAGATGATGAATCTGGCGCTGAGCCCAAGCCAGCCACTAAGAAGCGCGGTCGTCCCGCCAAAGCCGACCAGGCTGACCGCGAGGATGCTCCCGCTCCTAAGAAGGCCAAGGCTAAGAGCAAGAAGGCCGCTAAAGCTGACGAGGAAGACGACGAGGCCGCTCCCGAGGAGAAGGCCCCCACCAGAGCCAAAAACCCACGTGCCGCTAAGAAGGGTCTTCCCAAGCCCGAGGTCGATTCTGACGAGGATGAAGAAGATGAAGAAGCTGCTCCCAAGCCCAAGGCCAAGCCCCGTGGTCGACCTAAGAAATCCGCTCCTGTTGTTGAAGAAGACGAGGAGGAGGTCGCCGAGGAGAAGCCCGCGCCCAAGGCTAAGAAGGCCAAGGGCAAAGCTGCTCCCGTCGTCGAAGCTGATGAGGAGGAGGAGCTTGACGAAGTTCAGGAGGAAGCCCCCAAGGCGAAGAAGGGTCGTGGCAGGCCGACGAAGTCAGT